CACACACACACACACACACACACACACACACACGCACACACACACACACACACACACACACACACACACACACACGACTCTAGGTGTGCTTGCACACATTGGTTCGTGTGTGTGTGCGTGCGTGGGTGGGTTGTCATGTTCGCTATACACAACTCCACGAAAAGAGCATGACTGAGCCAGACTGTTTCGTTGGGCTTTCACTGACTCATCAGGAGGTTGAACCCCGACAATCTGCCCACGATGCATTTGCACGCTTGTGTGTACGCATGCGCCCGTGCGATGCCATGTTTGCTACACACAACTCCACAAAAGTAGGCACGCGTAAGAGAGAGAGAGAGGGGGAGGGAGAGAGAGGGTGTCTTCGACTGTGAGCAACAGCTAGCTGTCAGTCGCATGACTGGGCCGATCGATGCAGCGCGTTGAGGAGTGTGCACGCCTAGAGTCGTTTGTCGGCTCCGCTAGGTCCAGTAGAGGCGTTGGACTGGAGTAGGGTGAGGGCGCTTCTCTGCACCGGGCCAATGGCCAGCAGGTGCCTGGGCAGTTCTTTTACAACGGTCCCTATTATCAACGGGCGCGATAATCCAGGCCGCCCGCAGCCTACCGGGCCGATGGCTCGGATCGTCCCACGATCTTAAGACTTTAAGATCCCGCGATGATCCAGGTCGTTCGGCAGGGCAGACGGCGTGGATTGTAGCGCGATCTTAAAGTCTTAAAGTCTTAAAGATCGCGCGGAAAACCGGACCGTCGGGCCGGTAGGACCGCGTACGCCCGGCCCGGATCGCCCAATTCTCACGTTAACGATTTCTATAAGTGTAGGGAAGAAACTGGATACCTTCTGATGGGCCAAAAGACCCAACCAGTCGATAATCATCATGCGAACCTGGGCGACCTTGGGGCCAGGTTCATGCTTTCCAAGGAAGAACGTAGGAAACACACTGGGTCAAAAGAGTCACCAAGTCAATAGTCATTATGTGAAGGAGGCCACTATTAGGGCCAGGTTCATGCTTTCCAAGCAAGAAAGAACGCGGCATGCACACCGGCTGTTAAAAGACAGAAACGAGTCAAGACTCAATAGTCATCGTGCAAGCCAGATAATTTGAGAAACAAACCACTTCTTAGGGACAGGCCCCAGTGTGTGTGCTACATTCTTAATTGGCAAGCATGAACCTAGCCGCAAGAGCAGCCAGGTTCGTGCTGTGGTGGCATGAACTAGCACCATTGGGCATGTCCCTTATCTGTACAAATTGCAGATCTTTTAACCCGCACAATCTGTGTGGAGAAATGTGACTCCCCAGTAGTGGGTCATCTTCTTGCTTGGAAATCACGAATCTGGCCATAACAGCGGCCAGGTTCTTAGTGCCAGTGGGGTTGGTACCCTTAATTGTACACGTAGCCTATCTTGCCACCAGCGCGTGTGGAGTCACACTCCTCAGGAGTGCTATGTTTCTTTGCTTGGAAAGCATGAACCTGGTTGTATAAGCGGCTAGGTTCACACTGCCATAGCATGAACATAGTGCCAGTGGGGCCTGCCCCTTTGTTGTACATACTGCACACCTTGCATGTGGAATCACCGTCCCAAGTATTGCTATGTTGTTGCTTGATAAAGCATGGACCTGGTCATAACAGCAGCCAGGTTCATGCTGCGCATCTTGCCACGAGCGCTGTGCTTGTGGAGTCAGCCTCTATAAGGATGAGAACTGGCCTGTGACTCAATGCACAGAGCTTCTGAGAGGGCCCCACTAGCACTGTGTTTCACACTATCAAAGCACAAACCTGGTCACTAACACGGCCAGGTGCATGCTTTCCAAGACAACTACCCTGTTGTGTTTCATATTATAAAAGCATGAACCTGGTCGCTATTGCTGCGTTTTATACTATCAAAGCATGAACCTGGTTGCTATTACAGCCAGGTTCGTGGACAGAGCTGCTGAGCGTGCAACCATAGGATCCACACTTCAATGGTTGACTCGTGGGTTCATGCTTGAGCACGAACTTGGTCGCTATTACGGCCAGGTTCATGCTTTCCAACGGAACTGCCCTGATGGACCTTGGCTTGTTGGAAATCCCGATTCCATTCAGCTGTGTATCGGAGACACGGTTAGGGCACCTACCTTCTTCGGCAAGTTTTGGGGGCCAGGACGTATGACGTCAGAACTCGAATCTTGATGGACGGAATCAGATGGATACAACCATGATATGGCTTAAGCGTTTTTACCAAAAAAAAAAAAAAAAAAAAAAAAAAAAAAAAAAAAAAAAAAAAAAAAAAAGAAGACTGACACGGCTAGGGTTCCACAAAGGGTTTGCTATTGAATTTCCCAGATTAGGAAAGAAAAGAAAAAAATAACTCTGTGAAGATAAATGGATCCAGCTTTCATGGCAAGCTTGGATCTTGGCTTCATTTTTTATTTTTTTTAAATCTTCACAGAAAATAATAAATATTCCATTGCTGGGAGAACCTTCGTTGCAGGTGCAAGTTCCAAACCTGACCAGTTATGAGGCGGCGAGGCCCCTTAAAACATTTGCTAAGCTCATT